GTGGGCTCAGCTGGCCCTTCTATTTGGAGAAGACCACATTCTTCACCTCCTGCCACATCCCCCACTGGTGACACTGCTGAGCAYGGGTTTGCATTCACCATTTCACACTGGTCGCATCTTGATGAAATTATTCTCATTTCTGATCATTTTCTCACACGCTCAGAGCACCAGAGGTTAAAATCTGACCTCCAACAGCTGCTAATTCTCCCCAGAAATCAAAGCAGTTGTACTTACACAGGTTTTGGCTTCTTTCAGATGAATGGTGGGCTTGGTAAGCTGCACCTGGTCTTCACAGATGAACTGGAAAGGCAGAAGAAAARCAACTCTCAGTGGTGGCCAAAGATTGGAAGGGCAGTTGGTCACTGCTTCAGCAGCCCATCCCTCATTCCCTGGGAGCAGAACCTGAGCCCCCCAACTGTCCCCTTCTATCAGGGAGTTGTGCAGAGCCACCAGGTCCCCCCTGATCCCTCTTTTCTCCAGGCTGAGCCCCTTTCTCAGCTCCCTCAGCCCTCCTGGTGCTCCAGACCCTCCCCTGGACACGCTCCCCTTCATTCCCATCCTCACTGTTTCCTCACTGGAAAGATACAGGAGAAAGGGATGGGAGCAAACGACCCCTAAAGGTCCTTCCCGACCCCAAAAAGTCCTGTCATTCTACAACTGGGATTTCTTTGCTGGCAGATCTGTCTCTCTGACACACAAACAGCGAGAAGAGCTGCAGATTTCACATGTTTTGGCAGCCAAATTACCACCACTGCAAAGTGCCCACCTTCCCACCGTGGTGCCATTACCTCATTCTGGACAGAAACTTTGTGGTGCGGGAGGCCAGGACTGCAGCTCCCTGTCAGGTCTGTGTGGTTCCCCGGGCTTGGGGCCGGTGGATGGGCACTGTCAGGGCTCTGGGAGGCACTGGGGCGTTTGTCTGATACAGATCCATCCTGGGTGCTCTGGTCTGGGTCCCCAACATGCACCAAAAAACAAACAGACAGACACTGACACAGTATAGGGGMTACTATACACAGTATAGGATAACAGAGCTGCCACAGCTCTGTCACTGATCAGCTAAAAAACAATTTTTAGTTCTAACTCTGCCTTGAAGCTCGTTTTGTGAAAAGCTGGAGASGCTTTAGGTTGCTTCTTCAATTTTTATTTTTCTTAAAATTAACTTTGATATGGAAAGAATRTAATTACTGATTTTATTTTCTGCTGCTGAAACCCATCAGAGTGTGGAGAGAGGAACCAAAAGCCACGAGATTGTGTGTGGGTAGCTGGTAAACACTTAGAAGCATGAGGTGATCCTCATTTCATTTTTTCTGGGGTGCCTTTTCACAATTTCACTTTTTCTGGGATGCCTTCCATGGAGATTCCTYGACAGGGGCAGAYCTGGCTCCCCAGGATCTGCCACCCACCTCTGTTAGGAGGGGATTAAATGCCATAACCTCTGMTGGCTGCACCTCCATGGAAAAATTMCAGGGTGRCAAGCTTAGAAACAGTGCCTGGTYGTACAGGAGACAGCCTGGAGTGTCCTGCCTGATATCCAGAAGGGCACAAATCCCAAATTTACCAGCCCCACGCAGGTGTCTCTGATCTCTGAGGTCACCTCTGAGGATTTGGTTAAGGTTTGTAACATCTTAGAATTGTTTTTGCAGTGGGAGCAGTGCRAGGAGCACAGCAGCCTCCTGCCTCCCCAGATCCCTTTGAAGATGTGGATCTTCATCCCTGGGTTCCTAATTGATCCTTAAGTGGTGACAAAGAGATTTAAAATGCCACAGGATGTTCACAGCCTGTTTGCTTTTTGMGGCTCCTGCCTCTCCTGCAGAAAAGATGAGGGATATTTCTCTCCCAGACACATTCTGAAGGCTCCAGGAGAGAATTAATTCCAAAGCCATCTGTTTCTCATGCATTCTGTCAGCTATTTATTAAATATAAAGGGTTTTTTAGACCTCTTCAGGCTTAATGCTTGAGGCCAAATTTGAATTAACATAATTTTATATATCATCCTTCAGTGGAGAGCAGTCCTGTGGAGYGGGAGAGGAAAGGAAGGAAAAAGAAAATCCTTCATGAAAATACCCATTTCACCTCACTCCTGCCCACCCACTGGGGGAAGCCARTGAAGATGGCCTTGGCAATAAAACCTTGGCCCATTTAGTGATGCCAACAGCTGGGAGGCTGAGGGGGGTGGAGATGGTTTTTGAGTGGCTTCAGTGTTTATTCCAGGTAACTRGAAATTGGGTCAAGAAGAGCGTTTTCCAGGGGAAGATAGCAAAGGGCTTCGGTGTCATCACAGCTTTTATTCAGAGCCAGATGTGAGCTGAACCCACAATCCCAACCAAGCTGGAAAGGCTCCGTGGAGCCCTCACAATCCCACAGGGTGACAGGGTGAGTGGGTGACARGGTCATTAYAGGGTGATGAMTTCCCTGTAAATGCTGCCAGACAAAAAAAAAAAAAACCACTTTGGGAGGCTAAAGTGTGCCTCACTGGGAAACTCAGGAACTAACAGGRCTCTGTAAARCTCCAGAGGTCACAGAAAACATCTTAAYRGTGTCCAGCAAGGCCCTAAACTGCACGTGGACACTCCTAATGCTGCTTAGACAGCAGCGAGCAGYCAAAGCTGCAGCACGGATGAACGTCCTACCAAAGTCAGACTCCTTAGGRGCTGTAAATTCAGAGTTTAGCCACAAAATCTCCTTAGTCATCTAAAGCTCATTTTCTGTGCATGCCCAGACAGCCTTCCCTAAGCTGTCAGCTGCCCCAGGGATCTTCCAGGGGCAGCATTCCGGGGGCTGTCAGATTTTTCCCCAGCTCTCCCGTGTCAGTCCCCAACCCTTCACCGCTGCTCCCATCTGCCCTCACTGGGGATCGAGTCATTGCAGCTGATGGTGCTTCAGGCACACTTTGGTCCATCCAAAAACCAATGCCTGAGCTTTKCCAGTTGATTTGTTCCTTGAATTTCCCTGACTGCATTGACTCAACCTCCCCTGAGGACAGCAGGGACATAAACACCCGCTTGTCACACAGACAACCGCGCTGGAAAGTCCTAAAATGAGACAAGGTGGTGACAGCCCATAATGACAGGAGGTGTTTAGGCTAGCCAGAGGAAGAGAACACAAAAAGGCCTCCCCAGCACAAGAAACATTCTTCTGTTACCTGCCCCATGAGCTGTGGTGGTGGGTGCCTCTGAGACCGTGTCGTTGCTGCCCGGTTGTGACATCGGAGGTGTTTTAGTGGTGGYGAGGGATGGGGATCCAACTGGAGGGGTAACAGAAGTGTTGGTGCTTCCAGGACTCATGGAAGGGGCTGGTCCCTGGGCTGGAGAACTGGAAGAAGAAGTCTGATTGATGGGACATGTGGGAGGAGGCACAACACACTCCTTGGAGCTTTGGGAAGGGTCAGTCCCCGGCGCTGCGGYGCTCACAGTGGTGTTGGGCGGGTTTCCCTGAGGCTGTGTGCTGGGAGAGGATGTGCCAGCAGCYCCTACAGCTCCTGGAGGGCTGGTGGCATTAGCAGGGATGGGGTTCACAGCCGTGGTGGTCCCCAGGTTTCCTGGACTGGCTATAGCACTGCTGGGCTGCTGGGAAGTGGTGGGGCTTGGTGCCAGGGCGGTTGTGGGGGCTCTGGTGCTGTGGGAGGAGCTGTCCTGCCCAGATGTGCCAGWTGTGGCGGTGCTGGCGGGCAATTTGCTCCCAGATGTCGTGGGGGTGGTCRCTGCCACCACGACAGGTGACGTTGTAGTGGGGGACGGTGTCTTTCCCGGGTCACTTGCAGTGGTGAAGCTTTGTCCAGTGGTGGGTGCTGCCACAGTGGCCTGAGTGGCTCTTTCCTTGGTCGTAGTGGCGATGGTGGTGATTTCATTTGAGGTGGATGTCGTGGAGATGGCTGTTGAGGTTTCTGTGGTGGCTGCAGGGGTGGTTCCCGTGGTGGTTTCCGTGGTGGTTCCCGTGGTGGTTTCCGTGGTGGTTTCCGTGGTGGTTCCCGCTGTGGTCGTGGCTGTTGTCGTGGTTATGGAATCTGCGTTATCCTGGGAGTTGACACCTGTGAAAAGTAAAAATGCCAAGGTGAACTCTGAGCTGAGGAAACTGCCCTTGGTTTTTCCTCAGAAGAGGTGTTTGTAGAAGTGAACACTGGCACAGTGAGTCATTTGCTCAGGGCTTGCCTCGTGCTCTCCAAAGTCGCACCACATTCTGCATTCTGGTGTCAGTGTGTCCAGCAGAAAGCAGAAAAGAGGAAGACAAGGAGGAGGAAGAGAGCTGAGGAACCTCCAAACACTGCCAGACTCACAGAGGACTTCAGAGTGAGAGCAGGACAAGACCTGCTGGCTCTCGGGACATGGGTCTCCCTCGGATGGGAGGTCCACCCACTTCCACACAAAACCCTGCAAGGAGGCCCCAAAACAAAGTAGATCCAGCCCTTGTAAGGGGACAGCTCAAGGGATGCACTGACTGCATTCATCCATCCCTGTTTTGAGGGTCCCTCACACCCCCAAAGGGCTGAGGTGACACAGAACCATGGAATCCTTGAGGCTGGAAAAGRACTCCAAGATCATTGAGCCCAAGCAGATAGCTCACATTGTCACGTACTGARATATCTGCAGTTGGTTTCTGAAGAAAGCTCTAAACTTTCAAATGATGAAGCCGTTGCCCAGTGGGGGATGCAGCTGAAGGACAACTCACCTGACAGGACTGAGCTCTCCCACTGCAGAGAGCTCTGCAATGCACTGCCATGCCAAATCAGGGTATTATCACTGCTAAACCACCATAAAAACCCAGCTCAGTTTTTGTTTGTAACCACTGCAGCAGCTCCAGCAATGGCCACAGTGATCATTTCCCCACATGGTGACCACGAGCCCTGGACTCTTGCTCAAATTCACCCCAGCAAAGGCTTGATCTATTTTCCACCTGTCAGGAGCCATGGGCTATGTTGAGCCAATTTATCCATGGATCCATCTGGAGTCAAGGCAACAACCTGATTKGGGGAGAAGGTTCCTCTTTTTGGGGACCCTGCAGAAGAACTGCTATTATTTTYCCCACTCATATATTATTTCTAACTCATTTATTCTTTCCAACCCTCCAAAACAGGAGTCACACTCCCAAGGTTTGATTTTTAGCCTAATGCTGCTCTCCAGAGATCTGCTTTGTTCCTCTGTGCACACAGGGAAAGTGTCTTCTTTTACAGAGCCTGGCTGTGCATCAAAGATCTGATGAAGCTGAAGGTCCTGGTGGGAAAAATTAATCCCACCATGTCAGGATCTGGCTTGAGAAGGACCTGGAAACTGGGAATTGGGATGGGGAGGCTGGAACAGGTTTGAGGTCTTGTGGGAGCTGCCTGGGGATAGAGCGGGTTTGGAGGAGGCAGAGGGGCTACAGATGGGCCTGGAATGAAATGGAATGGAATGGAATGGAATAGAATAGAATAGAATAGAATAGAATAGAATAGAATAGAATAGAATAGAATAGAATAGAATAGAATAGAATAGAATAGAATAATTTCAGTTGGAAGGGGCCTACAATGATCAGCTCGTACAACTGCCTGACCATTTAATGGGAGGCAGAGTATGACTGATTTGGACTGGAAAGGAGCTTAAAGATCATCTCATTCCAACCCCCTCTACCTTCCWCTGTCCCAGGTGGCTCCAAGCTTTTCCAACCTTTTAYASTTCCAGGGATCCAGGGGCAGCCACAGCTTCTMTGGACAAYCCATGCCAGGGCAWCCCCATCCTCACAGTAAATARTTCCTTCCCAATATCCCATCTAACCCTGATCTCTGCCATTTTAAAGCCATTCCCCCTTGTTCTGTCACTCCATGCCCTTGAAAAAGTTCAGACCTCCTCCTGAAACACGGTTTCCCCACCAGCCACTCCTGAAAACACAGTCAAAATGTGAGCCTGACTGAAAGTAGCAGCATGAATTATTTTAGGAAACATTTGGCTTGCAGGAAAACCTTTCCATTACATCTGCAGGAAAAGGGCTTTTGTGGAGATAAGTCATGTTTCCTATAGGCTGACCAGTGTCTGCARGAGGAGAAGAGGTGAGGAAGCAAAACACCATCACAGGGTCCTGACAGATAAACCCCAGGTGCAGAAGAAAGGAGGGAGGTTTGACCTTCAGCTGTGTTATCAATTTGTGTGGCTTAAATCATCAGTGGTGGTTGCACCAAGCTGGGGAGAGACCAGTGAGCCACAAAATAGGTCTGTACACGTAAATAGAGTGTAAAAGTTTGACAGGGGGTCTGACAACAAAGGAGGTACAAAAAGAATCCCCTAAAGGTAGAAACAATACAAAAGAGACAAAGAAAGAAAGGGTTGGAAGGAAGGAAGGAGGAAATCCCCCACTGCTCTCGTTTCCTCTTCATGCCCCGGCCCCGTCCCAGAGGGGCAGAAATTAAAGGCTCCAAGGAGAGGTCAAAAAGACAATTCCATTCAACTGAGTCCAAGAGAAAAGGACAGGACCATGGCTTGGCTCCATGCCTGTCATGGTGTCCAGCTGGGACCACCCTGTGATCCAAGGAACCAGGATCCCTGCCCCAGCACTTCCCCGTCCCRCCCCAGGGAGATACAGATAGGGTTTTACCACTCTGAGCAAAAACTGAGGGCAAAAACCCAAAACAGGGAGTTGTTCTGCTGATGGAGAGATCGGAGATCCTCCAGGCTTGCCCTGCCTGGGGTCATTTGGAGCAAAAAGAGTGACACAGCCCAAAAAAAAAAAAAAAATCCAGACTGGGAGAAGAACCCAGACTCAAGCTGGTGCCCACAAAGCTCACTTGTGTTTTATCTTTCTGTATCCCTGCACCCACTTTTAGTGCTCCTCGTCACTAAGGTCAAGAGATGTTAAAAAAAAATCCATTTCTTCTTCCTCATTAAGCCAGAACCAATGATTTAATTGGGATCAAGCATCATGGGCTGGACCCACCACACMCCAGTGGAGAGAAGCTGCTGCTATGGCTGGGTGAGATCCTCTCCCACTGGGGAAAACACCATCCATCCCCACACACCTCCTGCAGGTTTTTGGGCACCTTTCTGTCAGCAACATTTACCTTTTCTCCTCAGCTGCATTAAATGAAACTGTTTTCTCACTGCTGCTGCACAAGGTGCTGCTGCAGTCACGGGGCTCAAGACCTTTCTGCAGTTTTATTGCACTGAGCCTAATGTTGCTCTTTGTCCAGTGACTCTCTTACTGCAGCTTTGGGGAAAAAATGTATTTCATTTAAAAAAAACTGCATTTTTTGGTGTTTTGCAGGATCACCACCCACAGAAAGCCTGGCTTAGGCAAACTCATTGCAAACTTAATTCCAAAGCAGAAACAACTACAGAACAAGCACCGCAATCCAGAGAGTCACTGTTTTCCTTCCACACGTACTGTATCTCTTTCAAATGCCAGAAAATGTTTTTTTTTCTTTAATCTCTTCCTCCCTCACTGGCCGCCTGTGCCAAATTTCAGTGGTGGACCCAGAGGTAATAGCTGGTAATGAGCCCCTGTTTGCCTGGGCTKGTGGCCAGTATTGCCTGACAACTGTCCCCAGCAGAAGAAACGAAAAGGATCTGCTTGAAGGAGGAGAAAGCCACTGGTAAGAACAGCCAGACAGCACAGGATTATGTTCGGTGCCCCTTCAGCATGAAAATCACTCACAAAAGATACAGTAAGTCCTTTAGCAGCGAACAAGTGATCCCTTCACGCCCATGAGCCCCACAGATAAAAGGATTTAACACATCCAGGAGGAGGGTGGAGGAGAGATCCTCCAAGTTATCRCTCCCCTTATCCAGAGGAGACCCTTTCCCAAAGAAATTCCACTTGAATTTCAGCCAGAGTCCCTCACTCTGTTTTCCAGAAGGCAGAAAAAAAAAAAAAAAACTACCTGCCCCTGACCTTCCTGGCTGCATTTTGGCACGCCAAGGCTGCTTTTTTGGATGTCACTTTTCTGGACTGTCACCAATTCCAACATTTTCGGGAAGATGGGATCCGTTTAGCAGCTACGGGGGTATTTTGACAGCACTCAGCTGCAGTGAGTCTAAAGTTTTGCATTTGTCCTCTGGCATGAACCCCTCAGAAACCCCAAATCTCTGGTGCTGGGTGTGGGGTGGATCTGTGGGAGGAGGGCGAGAGCTTTCCCCGCATCCGCGAGCTCGGAGGCCAAACAGGAGGAAATGAGTCCGCTGCAAAAACATGATTTCATGTCCGGATACGTGTATCCCATGACCTGCCTGCGATATGGTGTGTCTGGGATGGGGACAGCCAGCGGGRGAGAGAACTTTCCCTTCATACTGATTGCCCAGATGGGCTCGTTGAGCCCCTTTGGGAGGCTGGGAGTGCCACCGTGGGTGTTCCTGGATGGGGAGGATTTGGGGATTCTCTGGTGAAAACTCACCCAAAATGTGGAAGGAAAGGTGAGCTGCTCTGTGCCAGCACAGCTCCTCGAAATATCAGCTACACACACGATTTTSAGCTGCTGTGCWCCACCAGCCATGGAATTATCRAATTACAGAATGGTTTGSGTTGGAAGGGATCTTAAAGACCCTCTAGCYCACCCCCCAGCCACRGGCAGGRGCATCTTCCACTAYCCCAGGTTGCTCCAAGCCCTGTCCTCAAAMACTTYYAAGSATGGAGCAGACACAGCTYCTCTGAGGGCCTCACCACCCTCACAGGGAGAATTTCCTACTGATATCCAACCTAATTTCCTATTAATACCTAATCAAAAATGAATCTCTTCCAGTTTAACCAYCCCGTGGGGTGACGCTCTGGTTGTCATTGAGTACGTGGAGTTTTGCAGGCTGGGAAACGCACTCAGGGGAGAAGCTTTTTGGAAATGTCAGGGCTTGGAGAGCAAAAAGAGAACYGAGAGGGCTCAAAGGCAAAGCGAAAGGACACGTCCTGTCCATCCTCCCAYAGCCCACCCGAATCCAATCATTAATCCCCTCCTCTGATTAATTCCCTGCCCAACAGCTTCCCGCTTCCTATTTTGGTAACGCCTCCCCCTCTCTGCCCCCCTCGTCCACCTTGTTGAAACAGCTCAGATATTGGCTGAAATTCTATTAATAGTGA